GGCAAGATTTTACCGAAGTAAGGAATGTCCAAGAAAATCCAAGGAAAATAAGAATTGAGAATATTCTATTGCTTTTAGATCAGAGGTCATTAGTAGAACTGATTCTAAAGAGAAGCAATGCTTCTATTATTTGTTGAAGATCTGTAATCTGCCAGGCACTTCATTAGTAAATCTCTGAATTACTCATTTAGAATGGTGGCCACCTATATATCATGATACAATGCAGAAATGGAAGCTCATTGGTTGACAGCATGGAACCTGAGAGGTAGTCAGCTCTAAACCATTTTCCCCTAGATTAAGACAAAATAAAAAATACAAAACAAAAACAAACACCCTTCTAGGAGTTATGAAAGAAATGAATGACGAGAAGTTGAAAGTGGTAATTTGTGTGAAGACTTCCCTATCTTAGGTTTTACTCTTCTTTGGTTCCAAGTGTCTTTAATAAATGTATTTGTCTTTGGGTCTATTGACTGTTAGTACATGTGTTTTTAGAAGGTGAAGATGTTATGTGTTAAGTTAAGTTATATGCTTCTCCAAAGCAAAGCACTCCTTGCATTGTTGTTGTTATGTGTCATCGATGACTCATAGCGAGCCCTCCTTGGGTTTCCAAGGCAGAATCACTACAGAAGTAGGATTGCCTAACCTTCCTTCCAAGGAGTGGCTGGTGGGTTTGAACCACCAGCCTTCTGATTAGCAGTCAAGTGCCTTAGGCATTATGCTACCAGAGCTCCTACTCCTTGCATTAGGCTCTTTGGTACTCAAAAGGAGGAGGAGATGGTGATGGGTCCTCCCTGGAAGAATGATCGGGAGCCTTTGTTGACTAGTTGGTGGTGATCTTATCATCTTAACTGCATGATCAGAAGATGTTCCATGTCTTTCACTGCTTCAACTGGTGAATCATCTCTCAACTTCTCTCCGAACTCCCACAAAAATAAAGTGGTGGATTAAAAACAAAAAAGTATCTGTGATCTAATATGGCTTTAGCATTGCTGTGAGTGCTCTGGAGCCAATCTAAACTTTTCTCTAAAGAAAGACCTAGGAATCAAGTTTATAGTTATTTGCCTGTGTTCAAGGGTAGACACTCTGGTGGTGCAGGGGCTAAGACTTTCGTCTGCTAACCTAAAGGTTGGCAGTTCGAACCCCTCAGCTCCTCCACAGGAGAAAGATGAGCTTCTGTAAAGCTTCTGTTCTGTAAAGATTTACAGCCTTGAAAACCACATGGGGGCAGCTCTACTCAGTCTTGCAGGTCACTATGAGTCAGAATTGACTTGATGGTAATGGGTTTTTAGTGGTGTTTAAGGTTACCCAAAACAACACACCTAAAGCTCCATGAAGGATATTTAAAATGCTGACCACAGTGGAATGAAAACTGCTATTCCAAAGAACCATGAGGAATCCCAACTTCAAAAAGTGTTCTTGACTTTTGTAAAAGTTACTCCACAAAACATTCCTTTCTTTACAAGTCCCACATTTTTTGCTCAGTGTACCAGAGAGATGATTCTGTTTTTATTAAATCAAGCTTCATGCAACAAAACTGTCATTCAGAGGGATTAGAATCAATGAAATCTTTTCTCAGGTAAAGGAAAAAAACATAAAAAGCTTCCCTGGCCATCAGAAATTTTAAAAGAAATAACCAGTCAAGTTGTGCTTTCCAAGAATATCTTTTTTCCATTGAACATGTAAAGATTCATCAACCATTTCATCATAGAGGAAAGCTGATGAATCTTCTAAATTTATGAGTCAACTTTTGTGCTGGGAACAGATGAAATCAGTGATGCATGAGGCCCTGGAGAAGGGAGCACAGACTGTAAGTAGGAAGACTCAAGGAAAAAAATCTCTCCAGTGAAACAACAGGACACCAAATGCCAGTCAAGAGTTGGCTCTTATCCTTCAGCTTGGTGGTTCCTTCCAAAATTTTGGAAATTAGCCAAAGTGTTGTGATCAACACTTCCCACGTAATCTTGCCACACAGAAATATGTGCTTCTTGCAGCATGAAAGAGAATAAAATCCTCCTCTTTTTCAATGGCAGGGTCATTGCAGATAACACCAATCCTTTCACTCCTTCCGGTAGGACAGCATTTTAGGAAGTGTTCAGAATGCCCAGGCATTGTAAGCAATGACTGGGGTTCAAAAATCCTCTGGCTCACCCCCTAAGTGAAGCTGCTGACCAGGCACCCAGTGTGGCCCCAGCTAAACAACTGCTCAAGGGGAAGGGATGTTGGCATTGCCTAGGCCTACCACCTCTCAATTCTTATCTCTTCCCAGACCTTGTTTCTTCTGCTCAATAGAGTTTCTATTTAAGAATCCACCAACATTTCATATCTCCAAATCCAACCCTATTGTATTTGGTATTTTTTTATAGCACAGAAATGGCATTTTACTATTAGATCAACATATGAAAATTTATCTAGCTAACTCTCCAACATGAATAAAGTAGTTCCTTTTGTAAGAAAATTTCATTATTCTGTACCACCAAAATAGTTTCACTTTAAAAAAAAAAACATTTCTCATGTCTCCAGGTCTCAGTATTGACCAGCACATTCCTACTTATCCTTCAGATCTTTGCAGTCTCTTTGCTTCTTCCTTGATCCACTGATTAGGTTAGTTCCCTAAACGATATACTCTCAAGACACCCTCTGTTTCCTTCTCACTCTCATCGTCCTTATCATAGTTGTGCTTTCTCTCCCTCTCTGGACTGCAAGCTATCTGGGGTAAGGGACAGTGTCTGTCTTGCTCACAGCACCTAGCACAATGCCTAGCACCTATTGAGAACTTAATAAATACTATGGAATATCATTAATTTGTTAAATGAATAAGTTCAGTTTTCCTTTAATTAATGATTATCTTGGCATTTTTAGATTATAATCAATTTTATAAAAAACTCATATACCCACAAACTTTACAAGAATAGACTATACAAGTGATTGTGATACTTGTTATTTTGTGTAGCACTGTGCAATTTACAAGGAGCTCTGTGGCGTAGTGCCTAAGGCATCTGACTGCTAACCAGAAGGCTGGTGGTTCAAACCCACCAGCCACTCCTAGGAAGGAAGACTGGGCAATCTCCTTCCATAAAGATTTACCACCTTGAAAACCCAAAAGGGGTCACTATGAGTTGAAATCGACTCAATGGCAGTGAGTTTGGCTTTTTTTTTTTTTTTAAATCATACTCACCTTAAGCAGTTCATAGATCCCTATTACATCAATTGTCTGTTTTGATTCTCACAATCACATAGGGCAGGCATTGTTGTCCTTAAATAAGGCATGAAGAAACTGAAGCCCAGATATCTACCCAGCTTTTCATAACTAGAGGTTGTGAGCAGGGACTCTATTGCAGGGCCTGTGCTATTTCCTATCACCACCCTATTTAATGGTTATTAAGTCCTTTCCATCAAGATTTTCCTCTTTTACTTCCAGAAAACGGATAATCCTTTTATTTCAACTCTTGCAATTGAGTCAATCTTCCCCTGATCAATGGTTGGTTTCACCAAACCAGTGGCATAAAGAGCTCAAAGTAGGGCCTAGAGGCCATCTGAGGAGCCCTGGTGGTGCAGTGGTTAAGCGGTTGGCTGCTAACCAAAAGGTCAGTGGTTTGAACCCACCAGTCTCTTCGTGGGAGAGATGTGTTGATCTGCTTCTGTAATGATCACAGCCTTGGAAACCCTGTGAAGCAATTCTCTGACCTATAGGGTCATTATGAGTTGGGATTGACTGGACAGTAACAATGTGTATGAGCCACAAGCCATCTAGTCTACATTTTGCTAAATGTAGATTTTCTACCCTATACTACTACCATCTCCAAATATGTCTTAGCATATCAGTGTCATATTTTGACCTGACACCAATGCATAACACCAACACAGCCCTCAACAGACGTTTGTTGATGGTTCATACTAGGTCTCCATCACAAAGTGAGCTGAGGGACTATCCCCCATTTAGAAAGTCCCATATGAATGTCAGCAAAAGGGATGCCTTTTAGAACTGAATGAGCACTAGAAGGTCCTTTATGGCTGAATTTCCATTGGTTAGTATAGATGTTGCTTTTGCTTGTCTGTACCATGTTATGATGTACAGACAAAGATGTTACTGACATACAGTGTCTCTTTGTTCCATTTCATTGAAGAAGTAAAAGAGGACAGAAAGAGATGAGGGTCAAAGCCTCTGCAGTCCCCTGTACGTCATAGCTAAGGTCTCCACACAGGGACCTGAGGATGGTCATGGACCTTGTATATTTGAGTAGTTGTTATATTCACCTTAAGGAATTGCCTTGTCAATTGCTGCTTCACCCAAGGTTGGTCTGGTTAGGATTGATCAAGGACCTTCTATCTCTACTGACAATCGTCCAGATTGACTGCTCACTGTCCAGGATGATCTTTATAACCTGTAGCTCCTGTATCGTTTAAATATAGTAGAATCCTGTGGTGATGTTAACACTGACATTCAGTCTGTCTTATTACTCTTGCTTTGTATTCTTATTGCATAGCACATCTGTCATATGCTTTGTTTGGAAAATGGCTTATACAGCATTTTTAAATGAAGAGATCTGGGTTAGTCTACAATTTATGAGCTATTTCAAATTTAGATTAAACTAGATAAAATAGTTTTTAATGATCATTACAATGTTGATTAAATTTAACATATTGCACATGTTTCGATTAGAACTCAGAGATTAAAGGAAACCTGCTCTCTCACAGGATTACATTCTAGTATTCATTAATGAAGAATAGTTAAATGAAATGATTTGGCTCTTGGAATGATTGGATATGGAAAACCAAGTCTGAAAAGTATTGGTTTATACAGACTTTTAAAGACCATTATTACTTCTCATAGAGAGTGAAGAAATAAATCGGTGGCTTTATAAATGCAACTGTGACAGTCACTTCAGTTTTACATTTCCATATGCAGCCTGCCTGTTACCATAGTGTGTATGTGGTTAGTATGATAAAGGAACATTTCTCTCATAAGGAACCTCACATTTCTCTTGTTTTCACAGTAATAAACGACTGGTGGCCTTAGTGCCCATGCCCACTGACCCTCCGTTCAATACCCGAAGAGCCTACACCAGTGAGGATGAGGCCTGGAAATCGTATTTGGAGAATCCCCTGACAGCAGCCACCAAGGCAATGATGAGTATTAATGGTGATGAGGACAGCGCTGCTGCTCTTGGCCTGCTGTATGACTACTACAAGGTAGACCTCGTAGCCCCACTCTGCCCTCCTACCACCACCCTCACGACCACCCCTCCATGGTGGGAAGAGCTAACCCATACACACACACACACACACACACACACACACACACGAACCAGTTGACTTCTTTTGTTGCCTAATAGACTTGCCCTATGGGATTTTCTTGACTGTAATCTTTACGGAAGCATATTACCAGGTCTTTCTTACATGGTGCCTCTGAGTATGTTTGACCAGCCCATCTTTAGTAGAAGAGCATAAACCATTTGGACCATCCAGGGACTCCTGAAGAGATAAACTCAGAAAAACACCAAACACATATCTGAATCATTACAGATTCCAACTCACAGCAACCCACATTGGGTTTCCAAGGCTATAAATCATTACGGAAGCAGACTGTCTCATCTTTCTTACGCAGAGTGGCTGGAGGCTTCAAACCACTGACCTTTTGGTTAGCAGCCAAGTGCCTTAACCACTACACCACAAGAGCTCCTTGAAGAGATAACAACAACAACAACAAAACAAAACCCACTGCTGTCAAGTTGATTCTGACTCATGGAGACCTCCACTGGGTTTCCACCGTGGTAAATTTTTTACAGAAGTGGATTGCCCAGTCTTGCTTCCTCGGAGTGGCTGGTGGGTTTGAGCCACTGACCTTATGGTTAGCAATCAGATGCTTTAGGCACTGTGCTACCAGAGCTCCTTGAAGAGATAACAAGGCCCCCTAAATTCCAAGGGGACAAATTCTTCACCCCAAGCCAGAGAATTAAGACTATTTCCATTCTTGCTAGGAGATTCCGCCTTAATTCTCCCTAGGAACTTGAGCCTTAATTCTTTCTGTTCTCATTGCCTCTCTGCTTTCCCATCTGTGGAAGCACGACTTCGCGCCCATCCAGAGGAAGTTTTCATTTTTGGGTAATTATTTCTTTTGTCCTTTGTCCACATGTGTGCATATTAACTACCCAATCCCTATTTAATATCATATTACAAAGGTTTCCTTGTTGACAATTTTACTTTATGTTTGTGATTTTTGATGGAGGAAAAATATTGCATTATGTGACTATGCCGTACTTTAATTGGTCCATTTTTTGGGCATTTAGGTTGCTTCTAGATTTTTCAGTCTTTTCTTATAAGAAGCATTCTAATGAATAGTTTGGTGGAACTCTTTCGTAGCAATTCTAAAACTTAATTTTGTTACAATTCTAACCATCTTTTGTTTCAGTGGGTACTGTTTTCTGAAAAACCCTTGAAACAAAATGAATGTCATTCACTTACATTAACAAAGATACCTGCCATACAATACTTACAGAATAGAGATAGTTCAGGAAATGAAACAAGAAATAATAATGTCTGAACTATAAAACAAACATACCTGGTCTGACCTCTCCCTTAGAACTGGTGAGGCATAAAAAAATCAACAAGTATTTACTAAGTGAGGCGATTTATTGCCTGCTTTGATTGTAGACACCTTCGGTCAATGCTAGCTAGCACTTGGCATATAGGTGAGAATGGCTGTGTTTATTTTGCTGGTTGGGCTAAAAGAACTCTACTTTTTGGGATAAGAACTGCCTGCCTCCACCTCATCTTTTCGGGATAAGAACTAGATCCCTGCCTGTCTCCATCTCATCTGGAGAAACTTAGACCAGAAGATGTCATTTTCCTTTCAGTCATCTTCAATCGGCTTCCTGGTTCCTTCCTAATGAAAAAGAGAAGCATGTCCTGCAACAATAATAATTAGTATTTTATGAAAGCAATATACGGTTTGTCCCATAGGTTCAGTAGATAATTGTTATTAGGTACTGTGGAGCCAATTTTTAATTCATAGTGACCCCATGTGACAGAGTAGAACTGCCACATAGGGTTTTCTTGGCTGCAATCTTTATGGGAGCAGATCAACAGGTCTTTTCTCCCTCAGAGCCACTGGTGGGTTTGAACCGCTGACCTTTTGTTTAGCAACCAAGAGCTTAAACCACTTCGCTAGCAGGCGACTTAGTGGATAGTTAAGTATTAATAAATATGAGACCCAGGTTACCTCCTCTTGCTGATTTGCTAACTTTTAAAGGAAAGTTGAAATATTATTTTCTATAAATATTTTAGGATACAGGATGAGGAGTTTTACATAAAACTCAAGTTGTAGCCGAGTCTATAACTCTTTCTGATGAAATAATATTTTCCATGATGAATTTATTAATTTAGAATATAAAATACATACATAGAGTATTTTCTGGGAGCTCTGGTAGCATAGTGCTTAAGGCACTTGACTGCTAACCAGAAGGCTGGTGGTTCAAACCCACCAGCCACTCCTTGGAAGGAAGGTTGGACAATCTACTTCCGTAGTGATACCACCTCAGAAACCCAAGGAGGGGTCGCTATGAGTTGGGTCCCACTCGACGGCACATAACAATGACAACAACAGAGTATTGTCTAAGATCATGTGTGGTGGACTTACAGAGTTATACGGCTCTTTTCATTTTACACAAGCTTTACTGTATTTTTGCTTGAAACATTATAGTGTCTGTATAAAGTGTTTTTATTTTCCAAAAACTTTATGTTCAGATGATCATCCTGAGGACTTAGCTCTCTTTATCTTCACAGTTTATATATACTAGTGTTAAAGTTATAGCAAGAACAAATCTACTTTGAGGATAGACATTTTGTGTTGTAAAGTGAAATGTTAGTGAAAAAGACTTTTTTTTTTAAATTTGAGTATAAATTTTGAAAGTTAAATTAGTGTAACAATTACAATAATTTTAAATTTAGCATTTAAATTCTATAGCCTTTATAGCTTTTGCAAGTGCTAATGGATTCTTTTTAGAAATGGTGATCCCAGCAAAAGCTTATCTTTTCATAACACTTTATAGATTTCAAAATATTACACAAGTATGGATCACTTAGTGTTCATATTAACATCTGACCATGTCTGTGGACCCTGTACTTTTTTTTTAAAGGGAAAGCAGCTCTCCTTTTGTTTATTTCCTCCTAATGTTTTTAAAGACCCCAACCCAGACTCTTGCAGCAGTGGGCCACGAGTGGGCTACAGGCAGGTAAGGCAGAGGACATGGCTCTGAGTGCTGGCTCTTAGGCGTTGTCTAATGGGCAGGTGGCAGCCATGGGGCTATGGGGTCTAGGATGCTTCTGTTGCTCAGATGGGCGGAACAGCAGGCAGGGCTGGTCCAGGCTCTTCTCCCTCCCTGCTCACTTCCTCTAGCTTTGCCTCTGCTCTCGCCCCACTGCCCTTTCAGCCACTACTCTTGCTAATGCCTACTCCTTTGGCCTTTGCCAGCAGCTCCAGGCCAGCAGAGGCAATAAGGATGACCGGGTCCCCACAAGGTTTTAACCTTGTGTTAGCACAACATCCAAATCACATAGTGCCCTATTTCACAGAACATATCATGGATGTTAAGAGACACACACATGTACAGTAATTGACCTTTTTGTGATTGATGTATTTCACTCAACTTGATATTTTCAAGATCTTTCCAATTTATTACATCTTTGTCAATATGTATTGTTTTCTGCTTTATTGATTATAGCCATCCTACCCACTTACCCACTGCCATCAAGTCGATTCCAACACATAGTGACCCTTTAGGAAGAGTAAAACTGCCCTGTAGGGTTTCCAAGGCTGTGAATCTTTACAAAACAGACTGCCTCAACTTTCTCCCATGGAGGAGCTGATGGGTTGGAACTGCTGATCTTTTGGTTAGCAGCTAAATGCTTTAAGCACTAGCGACCAAAGCTCCTACAGCCATCCTAGGATAGCCATCCTAATGGGGGTACAGTGGTATCTCGTTGTAGTTTGATTTGTATTTTCCTGATGACTAATGATGTTGAGCATCTTTACATGTGCTCTTGGCCATTTGTCTATGTTTATTTGGTGAAACATTTATTCAACTTCCTTGCCTTTTTTTTTTAAATTGAATTATTTGTCATTTTGATGTTGAGTTGTATGAATTTTTATATAATCTGAATAGTAAACCCTTATCTGGTATATGTTGTTGTTTGCCATTGAGTTGGACCCTACTCATAGCAGCCCCTCCTTGGGTTTCCAAGGTGGTATCACTACAGAAATAGATTGCCCAACCTTCCTTCCAAGGAGTG